TGTCGAAGATAAAGCCTGGTTAAACTGCATTAAACTCTTAATGAATAACAGTGTACATTGCTCGGTAAGAAATTTTTCTGGCCTAGTTCATAGAGCGAATATTAAACTGAAGTAATTTTGCTTTTCAACTTCCAAGAGTGACTGACATCGTATTCCCCTTACAATGTTACCCCTCAATCAAGCGTCAAGGTCAGGAGAAAACAGAAAATGATCACCAACGGAAAAAGGTTCTAGTTAAACTATTTCTCCTTGTAAAGAGCATAGTATAGAAATCATGTATATTAACGTTGCGGTGTGTGGGTCGAGACAACTCCATTTTACCTCTGCACGAAGCCAATTTACATTTCTTGCCCTTCCTCGCTTTTCCTCGACAGTCTTTTCCGCCATTTGAGGGGGGTGGATTGGTACACGTACGATATTTATATTTCCTCCCCCTACCACAGGTCTTGTTGCATTCACCGTAATCTGACCAGTCACTCCAACCTCCATTAACTGCAATCAATGGTGAGATACGTTAAATGACGAAACTGGCTAAATCCACTTAACGAACATGAGAGGAATGTCATTTATGCAACTGTTCGACAGCAATTTTCATTCTAGCATCGGTTAAAGAAACACTGCAAGCTCTATTTCATTTTTAAAACTATCAACTGTGTAATGATGTTTTCCGAAACGAGAAAAAAAAGCATTACATCACCGATTTCTATGGCGGTCGCATTACAAAACGTCTCCCGTGCATTGATTATACGATATCACTCAATTCTGTACAGATAATCTCATAAGATATCTTTCTATTCTATACAGATAATCAAATAATGTTCTATAACATGTGCACCGCACAGGTGCGGAAAATAATAGAATTTAGATGGCGAGTGAAACCACACTACACAAAAAAACTTCATTAACGTTACTCAGTTGAAAATATGTCTAACACATAAACAAACACATTCCATGTTGCCATGTGTCTGTTCGAATTGCACCGCGTTCGCCCCCTATCGAGTTGGCCCCTAACTTATACCGTGTTCGCCCCCACACTTTCCGAGCTCGACCCCACCAAGTCGAGTTCGCCCCTTGATTAAGTGATGTCCTGATGGGTTGATTTGTAACGAAGGTTCTAGCAGAATGTGCCAAATGTCAAGTCAGCGACGACCATTTTGAATTTCGGCAATTGCGTAGAATCTGCGTGGGATCTGGGGTTACTGGAACGGCTGTATATACTGAAGTTGTGATAGTGGGAACCACACTTAAATCAAAACGACACCGCTTAACTTCACAGACTTGTGAAAGGCTTCGATGCTTTGTTGCCTCAGCTCCCACGCACTTATAAACTTTCAAAATGGCGTTCGGTAAATTAAAATTCAAAACTTGTCTTAGTAATTGAGTGATGGATACACTTGGGAGATTTACTAGGCACTCAAGAAGCTAGAGTCGCTCTCGGCTATCGCCTCGTGCGACTCTTACATTTCTTGCGTGCTTAGCAACCTCCCGCGTGTATTCATAAATCAATTCTGTATGCTGTGGTGTTTATCATTTGTTAATTAGACGCCATCTGTGATCTATGACTGTACAGACCCCATGCAGAATGAATTATATTTGTTTTATATGTAAAAAAGGAAATTGCTGTTAATGTGACGTCCTCTGTGCATCTAGAACCAATCAAAATGAGTGTAGGATTCAGCCTATCATATAACTTTATTTTAGAAATGAAAGGAATTGGAATTATCGTACCTTTGCATGAGGCCTCTCTACATTTCTTTCCCTTCCTCGATTTTCCGTAACAGTCCTTTCCGTCACCTGACGGTGGTGGATTGGTGCACGTACGATATTTATATTTCTTTCCCTTACCGCAGGTCTTGCTACACTCGCCGTAGTCTGACCAACTACTCCACCCTCCATCAACTGAAAGAGTAAAATACTTGAGTGACTTTACCCCTGACTAAAAAGTCACGACTTAGATAAATCTATCAAAAATAATATCACAGGAATGTCTATGTGCGACTGGGATAAATACCAAGGTTCTTCTGTAACTTCATAATAGAAAATGACAAGATTTAGCTGAGTTAACATTCTTTCAGACATCATCCCTTTGAATCCGGGAGTTATATCGTTGATTTTGCCAGGAACACTGCTGCAGTTTGGAAGCAATGAACAATAGCCAACATTACTACTAAGCTGACTAACTTTCAGCCAGCAATATTTGGTAGCGTAGCTGACAACGGAACCCACACATCTTATTTTGCGAATGGTTCTAGTCATTACAGGAATGAAACTGTCAGGTTTGCAAGCAACTGCGAAATGTTTTGATATACCAAAAACAACAAATCTGGAGCGTCGCTGAGCACATTTTGTTAAAGTACTCCCTATTCATCGCAACGTGACATGAATATTGCAGTCATAAAAGGTCACTAAGCTATGAACACTGACCCAACAGCAAATAAAAACCACCTATAAAGAATGCTAAATTGCCACAAGCCCCATACCATTGCATGGTCCGTTTTTGCAAGTCCGTGTTTCTTGGCTGTCTCCGGAACATTGTGCTCCACCACCTGACGGAGGGGGATTGGTGCAAGTGCGTGAGCGTGCGTGCTGCCCATCACCACATGAAGCACTGCATTGTCCCCAGTCTCCCCAGTTACTCCAACCACCGTTAACTGAAATAAAAATTGGGACAACAATCAGTATACTACTTGGCTTACGTGATATAGAAAAACGATCCTAGAGAATATTACAGCACCTTGGAAAAGGGAAACATCATGATATTACAGCGGAGCGCTTAAGCACAAAGCTGGCGAGCGGAGCCCAAAGCTTAAGAAAGCCAGTTAAACTACAAAGATGTGGTTGCCATGTAAAAAGGGTGCAACATTCTATGTGCGCATTGTATTTAACAAGCGCGACAAGCTGCACTGCCAGCAGAACGTAAGAACTTTACGTCGGCAGGTTTACACGCTATGAGAATAAAACATATAAATGTCCACGTATATCATCGTTAAATGTTGTACTTACCAGGGCATTCATGAGTATTACAGGCTTGTGTTTCTTTGCTGGGCCCTACACATTGCGCCCCACCACCCGAGGGAGGGGGATTCGTACAGGTTCGTGAGCGTTCTTCTGCTCCACCCCCACAGGGAGCACTGCATTGTCCCCACGGTCCGTAGCTGCTCCATCCGCCATTAACAGCAGCTGAAAGAAGAACAGAGAAGTGTTACAGAACCGTTAACCAAAATACATTCTGAACCCTCTTTTGGCAATGATTCAAATATTAAAATTAAGTTGTTAGACTTTCGTCACTAGTGCGCTACGAATAAGAACTACAGGGTCTCGGCATTAGAGATTTCGAGATGCAGCCATCTCCGTTTGTCTTGTCAGACGTTGTCTAGTCGGTTGAGGTTCAGAGAGACCGGTGGCGACATGGGCCTAACTCTAAGTTCAAATTAAACCACCGCACTACATGCTTCTACAATCCGCAGCATCGAAAGCTTATTCTGTGAATAATGGTATAAAGTGAACCCCCTCTATTATTTACATCTCTCTTGCTAATGCTGCTTATTGGATATTCTAAAGTGCTTCTGACATTCACTCACTTTCCATGTGGTAATCAGATTTACCTTTCTTCATCTTGCAGCATCTGAATTTCTCGATGCAATAAATGTTGTTGCAGCCGCTTTTGTAGAAGCCAGTCATGTAGTAACCCGACTGTTGGCATTCGCTCCAACCCTTATCGTCGAACGAATGGGTGACATCTTGATCGTAACAGTGTTCATAACTATTTGGATGACCCTGTGGGTGGCAACATTTTGCCTCGTCGATGTGATGCAGGTAGGCTGGTGGACCAGCGCCAAGTCTCATACCTTGCATGTAGTAACCGTTGGGGCACAAGGCCCAGACGTGAAATCTAGAAGAGAATTTCAAAGCCTCTTAAGATAATTTTTTATACTTATATGGAACTTCACATGATACAAAATGTATAAGTTTAAGTCCATGCATAAGTCAATTTGCCAAACCCGTCAGACCATTCTGATTTCTATAAAATGGAGCGATTGAAACTATTGCCAGACCTTTTGTATGAGATACTAATCCACTGACGGTCAGGCCTATATCAGTGATATCAGTATAATTTGTAAGGTATTTCTTTGGACTGCACTCCACGACCCATTTTATCTGCAGCCTAGAGACGGGTATGTTCAGAAGAAGTTGCTCATGGACTCACAACAATGCTAGCTAGTTATAAAATTCTCTCCATTACCATGGCATCTCTCACTCGTTATAGATCAGTTAGCGGCGTTACTCACCTGTCCAACGTGTGAAGCCAATTCGCGTTTGAACATGTTGAAGGTTTGTGTACATAACTTGATTCTGTTGCTCGACAGCACCTTCCGTACTCTATGCGTCCGACTCTTTCGTCTCCAGGATGTCGATCATTTCTCCACATCCCCTTGAGGTAGGTCATACTGTTGGGACAAGTGGACCAAGTGGCTCTGTCCAAACTAACTGACCAATCAGCTTGGTCACATGATTGACTGAGGGTCATGTCGGCCCGGCAAATCAGCATTATACTGATGACTGAAATCGCGAACATGACTTTCATCTTGTATTGGACTTCTAAGATAAAACGTAGTTAATGATCCTCTGGGAAAATAAGAGAAAGTCACTTATTACTTTGATAATTTTTCATCGGTTATGAAGGGTGATTGATCCTTAGATAACCTATTGCTGGACGACTAGAACAACGTGCAAATTACTAAAATTTCAGTCAGCGAAGCATACGATTTATCAAGTTCGATAATCTGCCAGAATGTAAAGTAACAAAATGATGAGTCTCCGGGCTGAGAAAGACATAGACCCATCAACTTCAAATAATCATTTCGAGGGCGATTACAAAATCGTCCTTCGTAATTAGTTAAAGAGTACGATTAAACGAAACCTTATTAGGCTCTGGGATAGCTTAAATTTCTCTTAAGTAGCTTTGTTTTGAAATTGATAGATAAAAATGAATAGCGGGCAGTCCAAGACAAAGATCGTATTGTCAAATTTCTACGAAACAGAAAACCAATCCTTGCAAAATGCAAGAGAAACCTGTATCACCTACCGCATAAAAAACGCGAGACAAAAGCAATGTGAAAAAGAAATCCGGGCACAAAAGGTTCCTAAACAGTTAAAGAAAAACGACCCATTAAATATAGCTATTAATGCGAAAAACCCAGGGTTTTCTTAAAGCCGCTCAATGAGTGAAAGATACTCTAAATGCTTAAAGAGGTTTGTTCCAAGGATAGAAAAACGGTAAACAAAAAGTGACTCCTAATGCAGTTGATAAAATCTAATAAGAGTGGACCGACTGTATGAGAGGGAAACATACCCTTCTTTTGCTTGATTCAGCTCGCTACAGCTATGCTATAGCAGGAATTAGTACTCTGAGTGCAATGAACCCACCACGATATGATGAAATATGCTTTCACTTTCCTTATAGTACACGTACGTGCTTTTGTTCAATTTTGTGGAAGTCACACGTAAGCATAATTCCGCGTTGAAATGCCGTTCCTCTGGTTACGAACCTCCTTGAAATACAACTTATGGAACTGATTTAATTAGCGTTCCAATTACAATTTCTTAAATGTATATCTCAAAATTAAATGATCTGTTTTAGTTTTTGTCAACTCTTTTCGCGTCTTAAACAGTTTCATTGCCAAAAGAGGTTGTTGAGAAGCGAGCGGCTTTCTTTTTTCATGTAAATGGCTACCTTTCTCAGTATGGGATAACTCAAACATCAAAGCGGAGGATCTGAATTAATTAAAACGTACTTGAAACATTTCCCACTAATGTTAGAAAAACTAATAACATCTCGTTGGAAAACGCATGATGATACTGGTTAAAGAGCTTCAAAATGAGGAAATGTTTGGTACTTTTTTTAAGTTTTTATTGGAGGATTATCACCAAGGTGTATTTAGGAACAAACTATCGTTCTCAGCAAGGGAGGGCTCAAAGGGCTCTATCCTTCCTCAGAGCCACCATTTTTGTTTGTGCTGTTTATTAAAAAAGAGTAAGGGCATTTTCGAGCAAGTTTTTGAATGACCTGTACGATCAAGTATGGTATGAAATGGCGTTTTCTTTATCGCGTTTGACCCTTATTGAATGGAACCCGTACCTGTTGGTCAACCTGAATCGCTGATCATTAAGCGGTCACTCGTCATTCCCCGTGGGTGACCCGCCTAATACAGGTGCGACTGTAACCTTAAAACAAAGAAATGTTATATATTGCCCCAGCTGAGATTAGAAGGGCGCATTTATGGTGGTTGTAATAAATTAGTATTTTTATTTTGATTCCAGTGGTGGATAAATGATGAAAAAAGGTTGATCCTTGGGCAATGATAATAATCTACCTTTTTTAGGATCAATTGTCAGAAAGCCTTTTTTTTACCTATTGGAATGACATCGGTACAATAAAAATTTTCTGTGTTTACAGAAACTTTGTTGGCATCGCTTGAAAATTGGTTTTTATTCTACGGGGGGGGGGGGTAAGCAAATGAATTAAAATATATCATGAGCATTTTTTCTTTTCCTTTGCGCTGCAAATGCTATCGACGTTTATAAAAATTAGAACTGACAATTTTTGGAAATTTCAAAACACCTCATTGGTACTGCATATAAACACCTCTCATGTAACTGAGTCACTTAACATGCCGAAGAAAGTGTCCTTTGAACCCTTTCACTCTTAATGAGATCTCATTAGGAATTCTCCTTAATGTTTGCCGTACCGATCTTATGATGTTAGTTTGGAGAATTTGAGAATGGATCAACCAATTAGAATCCTCCAACTGATATTTTTCTCTATTCTTTTAATTCGTCTGCTTTGAATTGTCTTGATATTGTTAGGAAAATTTCTGTCTTGGTCACTCGTGGGAGTCATAATAAAGGGCCGGGTTAAGACGACTTAAAAAGATTTCTGGTCATTTGACCTATCTAACAAATACGATATTCATTGAGGCTCTAAAAACTTGACAAAAATAACTAAAAACCACACAATTTCTTCATTTTTCTGGCTTTAATTTTTTTATTCAACATGAAAAGAGTAAAAAAAGAGCCTATTTTTCTGCTCATTTTCTTATTTTCTCGTCCTCGTTTATTAATTCGCAGTTCAAATATAGGATATCCATAAATTTATAGTCGTTCAATGAACGCAGTTTGTGCCTTTTTTCTATTCCACTACTTTTCGGAGAATTTCGGAGCACTAACCCCGGCTGTTGTTCAGCTGAATTCGATCACACTGTGATAAAAAGATATGTGAAACAAAATCGCTGGAAAATTTTGGAAATTTCATTATCATTTTTTATATAAACATTCTTGTGTGTTTAAAATAGAAACACAAATTTGGTCATTCTGATCAATTGAATTAAATGGGATATTTTTTGTCAACAGACTGATGCAAATTCGACTCACAAGTAAATGCTAAACGATCAGTCTTATTCGACTACATCGGCGTAGGTAAATTTTTTATAATTTTTTTTTACTGTGTATGGGTCTTTGTTTCCGGTGCAGCGCGAGAATTTTTTCTGAATGGGTAGGGTACCATTTGCCTCGCGATATTACAGGGTTCGGAGTCTATCCGATGTTTCGGTGATAAACGGAGACACGGAGATCTGCTACAGCTAAATGTATTGGCCTTTTTACAATTCATGTCTGTGATTATTCATTGCGTTAGAAAGTGGAAATACCAAATTCAATGTTATTTTCTAAGTGTGATCGAATCGATGACTGCATGCAAATACAACTGAACTCCTTTTTCGTTACACGAGCTTCAAACCTGTTAATTTTTTTGGGTTCTGAACAACTGCTATGCCATGTGGAACCTCTTTGCAATAAATGGGAGACATGGAAAGAATTTCTATGTGATCCTTAATTATATCAGGTTCCTTTCCGACTCGACATTGAATTTCTTCTTTTAAGAAAAAGGAGAAAATAAATATATCTATAATGACAGCATCTACTGGTGAAAAACCTTACTTTGCCTTTTATTCTTTCCTCTTTCAGATATTCACATAGCTCTTCGGCTCAAATGACCAGATACGATAACTTTGTTGCATAACATTTTTGTTAAAAATATTATACTTTTTCAATCAAGCTGCCTTTTTTTTTTTTTCAGAAATGACAGACAGAGCAGGCCACGCTTCCCGTAAATGGACAAATTTCTTTTGAAAACTGAAATTTCCTATCTTCGGGAACTGAAAACAAGAAAGAGAAAATAAAACGTGTATGCAGTGCTCAAAAGGAGGGCTGGACACTTTTTTTGTTCACATTGAACAAGGTCTTTCAGTTCAGTCAGATTTGTTGAAGGCAAGGCACCCTTTCACTTATCTTACCTTCCTTTGTCTGTCGCCCTTTGATGTATACTGCAGCTCAGTCTAATAGAGGAGCGTTTTACTTCAGTTGAAGATGTAGAACAAACTAACAATTCCGTGTCTTGATGAAAATTTCTCTGACGTGATTGGTTCATATTGAAAAGGAAACTGTACATCGGTCTTAACATATTTAATATAAAAACTCATCTTTGCTTGTTCCACGGAAACCAATTCGTGATTATTTGTCTATCTTTCATCAGTGTCGTTTGCACCCAAACCGCAAACAAAGATGACAAGTTTGTATGTTATAGTTTAATTGGATATCTTGGAATTTTCGATGACCAGCCTGTGACTGTCTAGAGGGTCTCAATGGGGTTAGCCGCCATTAGGCGCAGACTGACAAATTCCTGACCCGTTAGTCGTTAAAATAGTCAACCGTAAAAATCTTTCCTATCTATGATGTGTCCTTTTGAAAGTGTCAAAATCCCAGACTGTCTCCTGGCCAATTAAAAATAGTCTCTAAGTTCCACAAGAAATTCCAAAAATCGATCCAAGACGTCTGAGAGTTACACATACATTGGTTTGATCTTTAGGCCAAAAACAAAAAAAATTAAAGACAGAATAATGTCGCTGTCCTTTTAAGAAGTATGCTCAAATGTCACCGTCGCTACACAGCTTGAGCCCAAACCGAAAATCTATCAATCTCAAGCAAAACTCAGGGTCTTGTATGATCCTATTTTCGGTAACCCCTTCCCATTTCAATACTTGTTTCCAAAATTAAAAAGGCCAACTTCCCGAAACAGTTTAGCTTTCGTTCGTGTTATCAGTGATATCCCTGTCCAATTTTAGTGTCGGCTAATTAACAATTAGGATATACTAAAACAGTGGATAGCGTTGAAGGCGCGCTCTGATTGGCTAGTCAAACTCCGAATATCCTTTGCTATTTACCTCCGAGCAACTCGAGAAAAAGTGGCGCCCCGGTTTGCATCCGTGACAAGCGAAGAAATCCCTCAAATAACAACGAAGCAGTCCTTGAAAACACAGAGATATCCCTGTCCAATTTTAGTGTCGACTAATTCAAGTTAGTTGCCACTTTCAGGAGCGTGTCTCTAGTCGCTTTAAGCCCACGGAAATCAAGAGCTATCAGCCAAGAACATTAGAAAAGCTTTTTTTGGAGATTCAGCCTATCTAATACATAAGGTAATCTTAGTCTGAAACTGTCACTGAGTTCAGTTTTATAAATCTTGATAACAGTCGCCCAAATCAAACAACTTCTTCATTTTTATTACCTTTATTTTTCCCAACACCTAAATGCAGACGCGAGATACTATTGATTAAGTTCCTAGGAAAACTAAAATTCATAAGAGGAAATTCCCCTTCGACTACTATTTCCCCACAAAATGTCCTTTTCTTTACTATTCCCTTAATCCTGCGTTTAGTTTGGCAATCCTCAATTATAATTTAGGCGATTCCCATTGTTTCCAGGTCGATTTGCAGATCTGAAAAAACAACAGGAAAATTCCAGGTTTTTCGCTGTATTTTAATGACTCAGTGTGAAAAAGTAAGTTTAAGCCTATTTGCTTTCGTCTACGTGTTCCTTATGTCGGCACGTTGGTCTAACAACTTCAGTTTATAGGGAGGTAGCGCTGAGACTGTCCACTAGAAAGGTCCCTGTAGGTTTCGGGGTACGGGATTCAGTTGAGATGTGAGGGAAAAGGGAAACGAGGTTTGAGATTGTTAACAGGAAAGATTCGTCGGTTTTTGCAAATATCAATCGGCGGGAAACAGGAAAATCGGTTAAAGAGCCGAACTTCAATAGTGCAGGTTGAAAAATGTATAAAGAACAAGCTGCTTCCTTGAAAAATTAGAAATACCTCGCTTGAGAAGTTTGTTTGTTTTGTTATTTTCTATTTCTTCTCTTTAGAGGCGTAAAGAGACTCGCTATTGATGCTTTGTGGCTGTGACGAATGCGTCTTTAAGCACTCTCCCTCTCTTGTAAAAATGGATTAGAAGGGCTACGCAAACATTGACGTGATTTAAAAACTTGGTAAGGCAAAAAAGCAAAGTCGACTTCATAATCATAGAATTAAGAGGTTACCTGTTTTTCCTGGTTAACTGTTTTACTTGTCTCCTTTTCATTTCAAAGCTAGAAAAAGGTAAAAAAAATAAATCACTAGATATTCAAATGGAACATCAAAACTTCATCCATTGTTATCGCGAAGAATTTTAGGATCAGTTTAAAACGTTATGAAAAAATAGAAATCAAATAATGATAAATAGGAATTAAACAATGGACATTCTACTTAGTGGTTATCTTTGTCCACCCTTTCCAGGTTGAATTGGAATTCAGAGTGTTTGTTTTTGTGGAGGGAGGAAAACCGGAGGATTCAAAGAAAAAACCGCAGGAGCAAGGACGAGAACCAACAATAAACTCAACCCACACGTGACGCCAGATCCGGGAATCGAACTCAGGCCACATCGGTTGGAGGCGAGCGCTCTCACCACTGCACCATCTTTGCTTCCTTATAACTAACCGCAGTGTTCAAAGCAATTTTCAAGAAGAAAGAGAAAGTGGTAATGATGCCATTTTGCTATCCATGTGGAAATTATCTTTACCTCTTTTCATTTTGCAGCATCGGAATTTTTCAATACAATAGATGTTGTTGCAGCTGCTCTTGAAGAATCCAGCCATGTAATAGCCCTCCCTCTTGCAGGAGCTCAATCCCTTTTTGTCGAACGAACGGCTCACATCTTCATCGTAACAACTGTCATAGCTTTCAGGATGACCTTCAGGGTGGCAGCATTTGGCTTCATCCATGTCTCTCAGGAACTGAGGAGGTCCTTTGCCCAGTCGGAGACTGTTCATGTAATAACCAGCCGGACACAGCGCCCAAACGTTAAATCTGGTAAAAGAGGAAACAATCAAGGTACGTTAAACATCAAACGACTTTCTGAAATTGAAAAGGCAACAAGAATTGAAAGTAGTTAGCGACCCAATTCATATTTATTATTAAAGAGAAATATGATCCAGACACAAAAAAGTCAATGAAACTTTTTATCTTTGTCATTAAAAAAGATTTACAAAAGCGACTTTTTGCAGCGGCTTTAGACCCCAGAAAGAGACCTGACTATTCAAATCTACTGAGACTGTAGACGCCGTCATCTTGGAAACGCCTCAGTAACCTGACGGCATACTTAAACCACAAAAGATCTGCTACAGTCTAAAAAGGATCACTGATTTAGTCAAAAATGCTTTTTGCGGAGTTGGCTACTGTTTAAGCAGACCTCCAGAAGATGGAAGAAAGAGGTTTCAGACCTGTTGGAAGCCAGGTAGTAGGTCAGAGTGCTAAGAAAGATTACAATTAGCAATGTTCTCAATAAGATCTGTAGTTCATTTGGAGCCAATGTTTGATAGGTCAGCAATTACAGTTTGCAAGCTCGGGATGCGATAAGTGTCATAATATCATATGCAATTTTCAGTGGCGGGGATAATATTATATGATTTCTAGCGCGAACTTCTATTTCAAAATCAAAAATTGGTTTTCTGTTTACCGACGTAAGGAAATTTCATGCAGAAAGCTCTGATCTGAAATTACACGATGGACTATATAGAAAAAAAAAAGCGCAAATCATACTACCAAAAGCGTTAAGAATTTCAGTTTGTGAGATCATGCTGGAGCACCTAAACTAGTTACCTCCTTGTAGGTGCGTTTAGTTCACAACACTCAAACGAAATGCGTCCTGTACTCAGGTTTTTACTCACCCATCCAGCAGTCTGGTCCAGTCGGCATTTTTACACCTTGCAGGTTTATTCGCATAACATGGTTCGTCTGCGGCGCAGCATGTTCCCTCTTCGATACGTCCAACTCTTTCATCTCCTGCTTTAAAGTCATTTCTCCACAATCCCTTGAGGTAAGTGTTGGTTTGGGGGCACTCAGACCAGCCTATCCTGTCCAGGCTGCTCCACCAGTTGGCCTTTTTACATTCTGAAATCACAAAGATTTATTTATTCTTGATCAAGACGATTTATGGACGATGCACACATTTTTAGCAATGAGGATTTACGATTTTGTACATTTCCAATCATTGCAGTTTAAAAATTAAATTTGTGGATTCGTGATAAGGAGTATATGTGGCTTTAGCTTAGAAGAGGCGTTAGTTAATCTCTCC